GCAACCTGGTCTGGTGGGAGGTGTCCAGGGGGGTTGGAACCAGGTAGTCTTTAAGGTCCCTTCCAACCAAACCATTCTATGGTTCTGGTTTTTTATAAAAAGTGAAAGCTGCTGAAGTTTTCTTTCCTTTTTAACAACAGATTTCCAAAAGGTATATTTTTGCCCTTGCATTATCACATCACAAATTGATAATGACTTTTGATGAAATATCAAAAGGTGTTAGTGTTGGTGCTGTTTGTTAGACCTTACTATTATGAAACACATCCCATTTCTAGTCACCTCCAAACTGCTGTTGATTCCTGTGGGTTGGGTTACATCCAGACGTGCATATGCACACCTGAGGGTGATTCTCACATGCAGCTGAGGCAACGTAACAGCTGACCCCCTGATGGAAAGGGAAAGGTCACATTGCCCATCCGTCTTGGGAAAGAAAACATACTGTTGTATAGTGGAGTTTAATATCTTACAAAGTATGTACATTGCTTCCCATGCCCCCCACATTAAAATGTTTTTCTTCCCCAAATTCAAACATTTTTTTGTATTATTACTTTCCAGAATTACTTGGCACTCGGATTCCTGAGAACCAGACCACAAAAGCACTAGCCATAGACCCTCTTGTATTGGAATCGCCACAGAAGTTCTTCTTGCGTGTAAAGCGGAAATTGCAGCAGCAGCAGCAGCAGCAAAAAGGTACTTGGTATTGCTCTTAAAAACACTTCCAAAACTTCCTTGACTTCAGGGTTTTTGTTCTTGCTTATAACGTCTCGCATGCTTTGGCAGATTATCATTCTTCTTTCTTTGTAGTCTGCGTGCGATGGAAAATGGAGCGTGAAACCTGCGAATCTGCCTTTTCAAACGTGGAGGTGGCGTTAGACTTGCTTTAACTATGCTTTAGGACTGTGGACTTCTGACCTTGAAGCTTGACATTATTAGTCCGTTTGAGTGCACTATCTCCTCTGACAGCAAAAGCCATCTACCTTCAGGCTCCTGAGGTGGTTAAGGGTTCTTTAGAGACTAGTTGTAACGCTTAGCTTTTAATACATAAAGAGAAAAGGTTTGGTTCTGTGAGAAATTATCTTGTATTTGTTTTTTTCCGAATTGTTACTTGATAGCAACCCTGTATATGCTTCTGTCCTGCCATTCAGTTTTGAAAATGCAGATTAAGAAAATGATGCATGGCAAAGTCTTAGTAGTGTTCAACTTCAAAACTGAACTTAATTTATCTGAAAACTCAAACCCCAATGCTTGTAGCTCCCAGCATAGCAGCAGCATGGCTGCAAGTCCAGATCTTGAAGTCTGGAAAGATGGAAATATTTAAGATTCTGGGTTTTGTGAAAACAGATCTTTTTTTTTTGCTCTGCAAGGAAGATACATTAAAGAAAAGATAGGAAGAATGGTAAAGATACACTACTAATAGATACGGTTGGGTTTGGGGGAAAGCAGGATATCTCTAAGTCTTTAATAGCAGGGGTATTGATCTGGTGGTGAGGAAAAGCTAGTCTGAACAAATTCAGAGTGGCTTGCTGTTAATGTTAACAATTGAAATAGGCAGTGCTTTCACAGTTGTTGTAGCGCTAATCAATGCAGCCTCCTCTTACTAAAAATGGAGCTAACTTTATGAATGTGTTTTTTTATTAGTTCTCAAATATCACTAATTTCTTTGTTATTCTTTTTTTTATTAATGGGCAGATCCAACACCTTCAATCCCAACCAAGCAGAACATTCCTCCTTCCACAACTACAGAAAAGTTGTTAGTCAAATCTGCTTTTGCCGAGCAGCTCAGGAATGATCCGACAGAGTATGTGGCCACTGATAAGGATAATCAGGATAATTTCCTTATTGAATCAATTGATGCTGATGATGAAATGTCTCAAAATACAGTGACTAGTTCTGCGACTTTAAACTTCGACCCTTTTGAAAACGGGGATCAGTTACGAGAAAGGTGGGGAAATGGAGAAGCAAAACGTACTGAACTTCATCAAGACAGAAGAGACTGGCAGCCAAGTAATAAGCAAGCTGCTCGTGGAGTAGAAAAGATGCTGGAGACTAATTCTCAAAAGCCCTCTCAGTGCTTATGTAGTATTATGCTCTCTCCTCCCAAACTCCACATTCCAAGGAAGCAAAAGCCAAAAGAAGGCTGTAAGGTCCCTTTGGATAAACCTCATACAGATGAAGTTGCTGGCAAAGCAAACAAAGAGGTGGGAGAACTTAATACTTTAGGGCAACTGATATATTCCTGTGGGCCGCTTGTAGCTCATAGTTGTGATTTTTTTCTTTTCCTTGTCAAAAGTAATGAGCACTCAGAAGAGAATAAACTATTATTTTATTAGATCTTACTAGTAAACACTTTCCCATCAAAAGGATCTCTTTTTTCCCATACTGCAAGATGATGATGTTCAGGGGGTTTTTTTGGCTTTTGTTTTTTTCTTTTTTGCATAAAAGAAGGCCTTTTTTTTTGGTGTTCACAAGCCACAGTATGGGTGAAAGAGTTCTCTACCTGAAGGAGTCTCCTACGTCCTCTCTTTAATACGTTAATTGCCATGTGTTGGTATGATGGACACAAATCTCTGGCCAAACCAGCTCTTGGTTCTCTATGCAAAGCCAAGGAGGAGAAATCTTTCATAGCTGTAGGCTAGGGATGGTTCTAAAGTTAACTGAATCTGTACTGCTGACGGTGAGGTGAAAGTCTTGGCTTTCCTACAGAATAGCCAAACTTCCGTTGAATTAAGTGGGACAAGAATCTTTTCCTAGGAGACTAGTCTGCAGATCTTGTTTTCAATTCAATACGTGCTTGGCAGTATTTACAACTTTCTGAATAAATGCCAAGGAAAGATGTGCTGCATCCCTCAGTGATTACCCAAGGAAACTGGTGGAAGCATACCTTCCCAAGGTTTGAGTTTCCTTTGCTCCCTGGAGAAATCTGTGGGATTGCAGTCCTCTTCAAGTTAAGCAAGTTAATTGTTTCGTTCTCCCTCACCGTTGTCAAGCATGTTTGATATGTTTTCCTGTATTTTTTTTAAAAAAAAAGTTATCTTTATGATGAGTTTTGATTTAGAAGAGGAACAGATATCCGTTCATATTAGATAAGATTTGTAGCCAAGTAGGAGATGCTGAAAGAGCTGCTGTTACTGGGCACTACAGATCTGAGCATTGAGCAGGTGCTGGCTGTACGTGTCAGGTACCTTCCCTCAGTCAGGGATAAATCATTGGTCAGATCTTCAGTGAAATCAAGGCTGATGGTCAAAAGGCAAACATCACGAAAGAAAAGATCTGGAGTTCATTAACTGAAGTTGTGAGGAGAAATGGTGATAGTTTCAGATGTTAAAAAATCATTTTCTGAGAAGCTTTTTAAAAACAAAGTCATAAGTTTCCCATGCTGTTTTCCAAACTGCAACTCAAGTGCAACTGGTTTGCTGGTTATTTAGTGCAAAAGGAAGGTACTGCAGCTGTATGCGTGTCAGTAGTTTGCAATACCAGATATATCCATTTTAATACTGTCTAAGGTTTAGCAATAATGTAGCTAATAAATACAATTTTATTTTTTCATGCTAACTTTTTTTCTGAACAGTAACGGAGAACACATGACAAAGTGTAAGAGGTGTGACATAATGTTGGTATTTTTTGTGAGGAGCGTTTTGGATTTGCTAGAGGTCTTGGCCAATGACTTCGTCTTCTGAAAGTCAACATTACTCAAAAGTTTCTGTAATTTAAACTCCCGTCTTCACTTGTGCATTAGACTCCAGCTTGATTATGCTTCAACGTTTATGTGTATAACGGTTGTTTTCAGTTTCTCTGGTCTGGAGGATGGTGCCTAAATACCTTCTCAAGTTATACAGGAGTTAATTTCTATTTTGTTAATGCCTTGGCGATGTTGCATAGCTTAGTCTAATTTAAAAATGACTTTTTTTTTTTTTTTGGTAACAGAAAAACATCTACTTAACCAGTTGGAGAATTAAAGTGATGGATGGCAACAGTGCAATATGTGTTGAAGGAAAACGGAAGTAAGAAAAAGTTCTCTGATTTAAATGCAATGTTAAACACACTGGTGGGCTTTCAGCATCTAAGCTAGACAAGCTGTACTGTCTTCGCCTAGCTGAGCAGCTGTAGCTTTGAGACTTGTATGCTTGGAATATCTTGGTAACTGTTGGAAGTGGTTCCACACACTTCTACCGCTTTCCTCCCCAGCCACAGGGAACACGGCCCTTTGCTTGCACCCTAACCCTTGTGACTGCTTACAGCTCTTACCATTTTTATAAACACAGTTATCTGTCTTCTGACTGCACACGCCGTTCCTTCAGAGCCTGCAGAGTGGCAGAGCTGCTGCACGGCGGGTGAGGGATGGTGGGGGAGAGGGAACCGTGGCTGGCCTGGCTTAGGTTGGCTTAGGTGGCCATCGCAGCTGCACCTTCATGGAACTTATTCTTAGCCTGTGGTAAATACAAAGTGGTGTTATAGTTTGAACTTCTTTATCGAGGAAGAGATGAATTCCTTCATGTGTGCAAGAGGGTGAGTGCCTACATGCAAGAAATGACTGGTTAAATAGGTATTTCAAAGTCCAGTTCTGAGTCGATCAAAGAGCTTAAGAGGAATAAAGACAAATCTGTTTGTCTAGTAGATCCCCCCAAACTGGTGCTGACTTATGAGCTTCTACTTCATTTCACAAAAATTCTATTTTGTGACTGCTTTAAGTCAAACTTGGTGCAGACTGCCATCACCCAAACGTTCCTGCCATATCGTTTCGGATGGCACTATTACTCCTACAGCTATGTGGTGAGCTGTGACAGCAGCTGATCTACCTGAAGGCCTACTCTGCAGGGTTTTTGTTATGTTTTTGGTCAGATTGTATTCAAATAGGTACAAGATCAGGAAGAGAAGTGTCAGAAAAAAGGAGAGATTTAGCTTGGAATAAAGTTGTTTGAAGACACTGAAAATACACACTTGGAAAAGAGTATTCTACTCTTTCTGTAGTTATTAACTACCTAACAGTTACTTATCTACTGAAAACTCAGACCCTCATTCATCAGCAGTAGCACTGTGAAAGGAAGTAATTCAGTATGCTTCCCGAGCAATGTCAGGAGGCTGTGTATTCTGTGCTGGAGTTCAGAGTAGGAATTGACATTTATTTCATGGCTGTGTAGAAATAAGTGATCCTCTCACTTTGCACCCTTCACTACTAGCCACGTGTTCTCTTTTCATTTGTGTGTATCTGATAAATGTTGCTTACACATGATTTATTTGATTTGCTTTATAGACCCTCTGAATTGGCTTCTGTTAGTATTCTGTGACAAGTTACACAGTTGAATGTTTTCACTTTGTCTTGGGTTTCAGTCCTTAACACTGTTCTGTAGTTTGGTGTGTTGGTTACCGTTGTAAAAGTATATTTGGAAAAAAAAAAAACAACCACCAAACAAAACTCAAAACACTACTTAGATTTTCTACTTTAATGCTTGGGTCTGTCTATTTCTCATGGAAAAGTCCCTTAATAATTTCTTAACAACTCCAATTTTTGCACATATTAGGGCTTGTTCTTCAGTTGTTCTTGTCTTTAAATAGGAAAGTCAGAAATAAACATAATAATCTTAGGGAAAACATACATTTGATCTGTATAATGGTAGTTTTGCATCTTGCGTGATGGTATCACTGCAATAATGAGCTGGACGGAGTCCTTTAGTCCATTTTGCTTCTGCAGCTTAATGTCAAGCTAATGTTCTCTGAGTAACTGTCCTGGTTTCGGCTGGGGTAGAGTTAGTGTTCTTCCTAGTAGCTGGTACAGTGCTGTGTTTTGGATTTGGGATGAGAATAATGTTGATACCACACTGATGTTTAGTTGTTGCTCAGTAGTGCTTACTCTAAGTCAAGGACTTTTCAGTTCCCCATGCTCTGCCAGCGAGGAGGGGCACAAGGAGCTGGGAGGGAGCACGGCCAGGACAGCTGACCCCAACAACCCAAAGGGACATTCCATACTGTAGAACGGCATGGCCAGAATAGAAACTGGGGGAGCTGGCTGGGAGGGGCAGATTGCTGCTCAGGGATGGGCTGGGCATCAGTCGGCGGGTGATGAGCAATTGCATGGTGCATCGCTTGTTTGTATATTCTAATTCTTTTGTTATTATTGTAATTCTATTACTATTATTACTATCATTATTTTCTTCCCTTCTGTCCTATTAAACTGTCTTTTTCTCAACCCACAACTTTTACTTTGTTTTTTGATTCTGTCCCCATCCCACCAGATAGGGAGGAGCGAGCAAGCAGCTGCGTGGTGCTTAGTTGCTGGCTGGGGTTACACCACAACATGACGCTAAGGCTTGTGGCAGTCACCATGCTCATTTTGCCTCCTGTCCAAATATTAGACAAGGCCAGAACTGTTTCTCTTCCAAGCTAAGAAAAGAAAACATAGCATATCCTGCCAGTGTCTATATCGCTGATAAAATATGTAACACTGCCAGTCTCATATGGAATATCAATATTCTAGTTTTAAATTCCTTCTTTTATGAAAACAATGTTTTATTTCTGTTCTTCATGTTATCTGTCTTTTCTTAGAGATATGAATGGTCTGTCTTGGCATAGCAATGCAATTATGGAACGCATAGCATACAACCAAGTTAAAACATCATCTGGCAGTATCTACTTTCTACAGGGAAATATAGATTCAGCTTCGATGAGAAAAGAAGGTAAGAAGATGATTATCGATGTAACACTACAAACTGAGAAAGGCTTCAGATTTATGATTGAACGTTCCGCTGAAGCAAGTGTTTTGCCTTGCCCTGCTAATCAGGCTCGGTGGATATTCAGCACGTGCTGGAAAGTGACTCCAGCATCAGATTTGTAACTACTATCTAATGTTAATTGTAGCTGGCATTTTTAGGGTGCTGCAGTTAGAGAGAGGGCTTTCAGAGCATCAAGTTGGCTAATGGGTACGTTCTTTTAAAGAAACTGAGTTTTGCTAAGATTGCCTTATGTAATTTTGGTTAATGTGTTGGCATTTAAATGGTGCTAAGACATTCAAATAGAGATTGTTTATACACTACTGAAATTACTCTGGTGTTTGCATTCTATTTGTGACTTACTTTCAGTAATTAACGACTAGCTCTGCAACGCTGCATGGAATTTCTGTTTAGAGACAGACTAGTTATGGTGTCAGTGCTTTATAATTTAGTAAACTGATCTATCTTTAGGGTCTAAGTGGTACATTATACCAAATCTAGCAAAACGTCCTGCTTCAGATTGTTTTGAAGCATGTGGAATTTTAAAGGAAATTTAATTTACACACAATGTTAGTGTTAGGCTAGGCTTTATTCTATTTTTCTTGCTTCATCTGCATCCTCTGTGATGTTCATTAGTAAATGAGCTGCTGTGTTCGTGCTTACAGACAGCTCTAGGAACGTAAAGATCCTCTGTGGCATAGATGGAATAAATGCTTGCCTTAACGCAGACATGCCTTGTGCGTGTGTGATCACGCGCTTTCTAAAGGAGCGTATATGCACTCTTTGCTCTTTCAGGCCCAGCACAAGGTGTCCAAAGGTGTGTCTGTGGCTTTAATTTTTTCTTCTCATTTGCAATACTGGGATGCATTCTGATAAATACCTGACTTGGCTGCTCTCTGACTTGAATCTTTTTATTGGTTCCCCTGCTAAATCCTTATATTTGTTTTTATTTTCATATTCTGAGAAGGAAAAGTGACAGCAAGAGACTTCTGAGCAGAGTGGTTCAAGTACTACAGAGGTTTCCGAAGCCTAAGTGTTAATGGACTGTGCTGGGTCAATTCCTCTGATCTTCAGGCTTAGCACTTACAGCAAAACATCCTTCCTTCTCACCTCCCCCTCGCCTCCCAACATCTCCCAACACACAAAAAAACCTGATCATAGGGTCAGTGTGGAAAATACCCTGGAAATACCCTGAACAGATTGAATATTGGTACATGAATCAAAAGAGAAGTTAAAGACAAGCTAATGTAGGTAGAGAGGAGAAGAAATGTGACATCTAAAGTCTGAGGATTTCCCTAAAGCAGTGGTTCTGGCAGCCAGGAACAGCCGGGGCTGTCGGCAGTGGCACCATCGGTTTGTGAACAAGCTGCACCAAGACAGAACTACTTGCCTGTGGAAAATATCTGAGTAATGCGTACTGATACTCCAGGTGACCCCTCAAAGCACTGAAATCATTAATGAGATGTGCTGCAGTAAGAGCACTGGCTCGGCGCTTCCCTGCTTCTGCCTCGTGGTTATTAGCAATCAGGGACTCTGTGCTACCAGACCAACCCAAACAGTACAGACTGTTTAATCGCACAGGCTCTGCCCCGGAAAGGTGTTCTCTGTGGCTGATGTCCCAACAGCCCCGCAGCAGGGTGTTGCGCACGCCCACCCGCCGCCCCCGTGGTGAAATTACAAAGGGAATAGAGATGGTAAATAAAGATCAGTTCTGTGCAGTCCCTTGCAATAGCAGAATAAAGGAAATTAAAAAACCAAACAACCTAGTAAAGGGGAAATAAAAAGTTTTTCACATGTGCATCTCATTTGTGGAAATCCTTGCACAGAGTCTTGTAGATGCTGAAGTTTTACATGAGTTCTGTTGGAGACTGAGCAATTTCCTGGAAGTCAAATTCCTTCAGGGTTTTGAATACATAGAAATTGGTGTCGATTTCTCAGTTGGAGGTTGGGAGGTTGCTTGGAGGGAACATTCCGGTATGTTAGCCTTGCCTCTATACTCTGCCCTCTGCTGTTAGTGTCCTTTCCCTGGTTGGGGCTAGGTGGACCTTTGGTTGTACGCTAACTAAGCTAGTGACAGAGTGCCCTTCTCATGTCCCGTTCTCCTGGAGGAGCTCAGTTACTGGAAGTCTCTGTTGGTGCAGGCTGACATTCATGGCCTTTCACCTCCCAAGATGAACAGTTTGTGGATGTGACTTTTTTTTTTTTTTTCTTCCACTCATGTGCCTGTTGAATGCTTTCCAGTAAAGATGCTGCTTCCCAGAATTTCAGATAAATAGGCTGCTACTTAAGCTTGTTTTCTAATCACTTGTTGCAGACCCTTCGTGTAGTAGTCCGTGACTCTAGTGGCCTCGGTGTCAGAGGCTGAACGCTGCTGGTTCCTTAGACGTTGTGAGCAAGCAAGCGGTGGCTCGGTGTTGTGCTCCTGCACCTGTGCAAGCGCTGTCCTGCCCATGGGAAGGGCACGTGTTAGCCTGCTATCCGCCAGAGTGTCAAACATCCAACGTTTGTTCAGAAAGGCTGGAGCTCAAGTGATGCTTTTTTTCCTTCTCTGTTGCAACAAAGGAATACATTATACTTTTGCATCAGTATTTGTTTTTAGGGTTGTTTTGTTGATTTCAGAGACAAAACTAGAGTCATTCTGTTGTATCTGTACTACCTGAAGAACTTCCCAAGTTTAGAATATTGTTGCTAGATACCTTGACTGCACCTGATCCTGCTGCAGTTGTTCTTTGTCTAAGCCTCATGAACAGGCTGTGTGCTCTGGATGGAACAGCTTCTGTAGCAAAGCAAAATGAAGTTTTCTTCCAAGCAGAGTTTCCTTGATAGGGTAAGTCCCAACAGCTTAGACCTAACCAGACCCCCAAAATCTCAGGTGCTCTGAGAGACTTTGGTACTCTGCAGAGAAGCCACGTGCCAGTCCAGCGCAATGGACGGGGAAAGCTTATGCGTCTGGTTCCCAGGAAACCAGAATGCTGTCTCCAGCTACCGACACCTGTCAGTTATGACCCCTTGGCTGACTTTTCTATGAAGTATGCTGTTCTCTGAAACTAGGGAAACCTGTCTCTCTGGTGTTTAAAGAGGTAGTGAGCTTCTGAGGTATTTACAAAACCGTGATTGTACTGGACGTTATTTCTGCCCTTTCTGATTAAAAGTATTGCTCAGCTATTGTTAATGCTACTCTGTTTCAAACAGGATTTCCCTACCGTTTCATCAAAAGATTTACATATGGGTTTTCCAAAAAGTGGAAGGAATATGTTGAGGAGTTTCTTGAGGAAAGAAGAAGGTAATTTCTTTGGAGAGTCTGTTTCATTGCAATGTTCTTTTAAGTACTGAGATTTTGCTTTTTAAGAATGCTATACCAGAGGAGTATAAAAGATTGTAGATGTGTGCGTGAAGACTATGTTGCAGGCAAATACTGGCCACCGCTTTGGAAGGATACCCTTTTACCTTTCTTCATTATCCTGGTTTGGTTTTGTTCCACTTGTTTACACAGCCTTAGAGGAAAGAGAAGCAAAGAGCTTCACTGATTCAGTGGCTCGCCCGGTGTCTGTGTGAGTACAGCTGCACTGTGCTATTGGGCTTTTGCTGCGATGAGGAGAAGACTTTTGAGTTTACATAAGGTAATGTGTTGTTAAAGGACAACTCCTTCAGGTGTTTATTGTTTCTTTTCTTAAACTCCAAATCATTAGGAAAGAACAAAAACAAAATACTGGTGAGGGTGAAGATGAAGAGAGTGACTCAGTGGTGGGCACGGACGTATTGAAAAATGCAGGAGATTCAGCAAGAGATGTAAAGAAACCTGAAACCAGAAACACCACCTATGAAGTATTATCGCAGAATGATGAAAACGCTTGTGGGTATTTAATAATCCTTTTCTTCAGAAAAGTTGGGGGGGGGGTTTCTGAGAGCTGTTTTCCCCAGCAAAAGATACTTAGTATCTGTCTGCTTTGTATCTCGTTAATCAGGCTGTATGGAAGAGGTAACTAACTGGCCAGGTAGAGTTTTTTGTTTGTGTTCACTTCAACTGCAATGATCAAGAGCGTTGACTTGTTTCTTTATTTGTGGTTTCCTGATGTGCAACAGCTACAACAAGTGTTTAGGGGCTGTCCTGAGGGTTAGCCCGAAAGAAGCAGGAGCTGGTTTTGGTCCGCCGCAGTGGAAGGCAATGACTCCAGAGCTCTTTATTCTGACAGCAAACTTGATTTGTTTCTCCAGTTGCTATTTTGCATAATATACTCTCTCTCTCAGTCCTTCTGGGATGCCCGTGGGATTTAATACCTCCATCGAGGCTCCGTCCGTGGGACTCCCACCCCCTTTTTTTAGCTGGGTTAATTTAAACTTGTATCAAGTCCTCAAGCAGGTTTGTTTTATGGCATCTGAATGTTTTTGCCACAGCTGAGGCATAGTGATGACAACTGGGGATGGACAGAATTGGTTGTGGAAAAATTCATTACTTTGGCTTTGTTTCCAAAGGAAATGTTTGTAAAGCCATAATCTGATGATCAACCCGTTTTTTCCTTGCCTTGCAATGCAATCCTACCTTTGGTAGGGATGCTAATAGCTTTTGGTTTTAACTTTGACTTCTTTTTAATATCTTGTCCTAGGTTGCAACAGGGTCTTGGCCAAACTTTTTTTTAACTACTATTTGTTAATACTATAATCAGATTTTCTGGCTAACACTATAAAAGCTGATTTATTTTTTTCTCTCATTAGTTAGGATTTGTTTGGTGTGACAACTTTTCTTTATCATTCTGCTTCCCTATATGACTTTTACAGTATTTATAATTTTCTAAACAAAGTGAAAAGAAAAAGTTCACAACAGTAAATTGTGAATCGTATTAAGGTATGCTTATTTCTAACCTGAACACTTCAAAGACCAACATAACATTGTGCTAAGTTTTATATTTTCCATGTAGTCAGTGCAAATGAGCTGGTTTAAACACAGTATTGCTCCTATGCTGGTGAAGTCTGCAAAGGTGAATTCCCAATACGATATTTGGGACAAAACTGTAATTCTTGCTTTTTCTTGTAGATACAACACCAAAGCACAGTTCCATATCAAATGACTCAAGCAGAGTTTACACTCGTAGTGGCCGTCTTATTAAACCACCATTAAATTTCTGGTGTGGGCAACGTGAGTTTGTTGATCAGGAACTAAATGTTACTATAGAACAAGGTGGAACAGATTATCTGAGCATGGTAAGATTCTTTTGCGTATTGTTTAAATGTTCCTTAAATATAATGAATAAACTTGACTAGGTATCTAATGGAAAGAGTCCAGCTCTTATAAGCACTTGAAGAGGCAGGAAATCTTGAAAACGTAAAACCATTTTACAACAAACAGAAAAAATAGTCTTAATCTCTGTATTACCAGATAATGGTGGTTGTCTCTAAAATGGGGATAATAGGGAATTAATTCTGGAAAAATAAGTTGGTTGGGTTTGTTTGAAAGATAAATATATCAGAAGGATATTGCACCCATGCAGTGGTTTGGGTCACAGAGGTTCCCAAGTAAAACATTTGCTGTAATGTTGTAAGGCTGGGCCCGTGCCACAGTGTTTCATGGCGGAAGGGACGGCAGTGCTGCCGGGAAGGGCTGGCGTTAATCTGTACTGTTCTCAGTTCTCTCCTTCCCGCGCAGGCTCTCGCATTCTGTACCACCAGGTATTTCCTCATTTCTTGTGTCCTGATCTGTCCAGGTCACCCCAGTTTTGATTGAGCTGTGCTGTTCTTATTTATTGTGACACTTTAAGCAACTCTGATAATATTCTGAGAACAAGTGAAGGAAAACAGCATTCTTTATGGCAGTTGTGAGCTTTTTTTTTTTTTTCTAAGATTAGCTATGATGGAATGGGGGGAGTACTAACAGTAGTCATCAGCTGCAGCAGTGAAGATCAATGTCCAATTTATCACCAACTCAAGCAGTTCTAGGTCTTGAGATTTTAACTTGGGTTTTAGAGTATTTAAATTTAAAGGGAGCCTGGCTGAGTTGCTTTGTATTTGTATATGCATGCATTTGTATACATGTTTGTAAACATGCATTTGTATAAACACTTGTGTTCATCAAATAGTATGTAGTAGATACTGGTCAATGTAGGTGACTTTTAAATCTACCAATCCTGTAAACATTTGGTTTTTTCAGAGCTGGCGTCGGTAGGCTTGCTATGTAATCTCTTGCAGAAGTTTAGATTAAATTGTTTTATTTTGAAGATGTTTAGTAGTGAAAAATCCCAAAGAAAGATGAGCTCCATCTCTAAGAAGAATAAAAGAAAGGAAGTGATGAAGACAACAGAAGAAACACCAAAAAGCCAAAGTAAAGGTAAAAAACTTTTTTTCATGTTTCTTATTTTTTTAAAGTTATTGCCTAGAATCAGTGGGAGTATGAGTTGGGTGCCAGAGCAGTATGGTCATGTCCTGTTAATGCAAAGAAATTATTTAAATCTTTCAATGCTCAATTGCTTCTTCTATGAAGAATTATCAGAGTAGCATTAATGCCTAGTTTTACAGTGCCGCATATAAACCACGTTTGTAAATCACTTCTCTATTTACATAATGGGAACATGCTGATTTCTTTCTGGAAATGGAAACGAAAGGATTATTGGGGGGGAGGTGTTTTGTTTTGTTTTTTAAATTTCTGCTCCTGTACTTTGGACCTCTTAACACAGCTATTAGGTGTGGCTTGAGAGAGCCTGAAGAGAAGCAGAGTTCACCAGTCCAGTAAACTGGTAGTCTGGCTTTGCTTTTTAAGCTGGATGAATTAAAATAAATGAAATGCCTAGGTAAGCAAAAAAAGTGTATTAACAGAGTTTTAAAACCTTTAGTTTTAATAAAATTTGGGAAATAATAGAACCTTGAAAACAATATAAAATAAAAGCAGAAGTTTCTCTTTTAAAGCAACTGCAGCATAAAGAAAGCTTTCGGGATGTTAGTGTTTGCTCAACCTCAGTTGCAGCGTTTTAGCAACGTTTTCTGTTTACTATTTTATTCTCTATCTGTTCGATACTTCCACCTTCCCTTTTGTAGCCTTGATAATCCTAATTCTTTTAGTCTGGAGGCAGTCTGTCGCGGGTGTGAACTGGGCAGGAGCTGGATGCCTCCTGTGCAGGAGGAGCCCTCCCCACTGCGGGCTGCGCTCCCTCGGAGCAGAGGGACACCTGCACAGAATGAATTCAGTGCTTGTAACTGGTTCCACGCTGTGTGCTCTTTGTAAGAGTTGTGTCTAAACGGATATTCTCTGCTTCGTGCCCACCATGCCGAGGAATGGCCTGGCTGCTGGGACGTGCTGTCACGTCTCTGTCATGTAGCCTCTTGTTCCAGAAGAACTTAATCCCAAATACGTAGGAGTGTACGTGTGAGGGCAGAAGGCCTTTACTTCGTCCTTCTGAGATACCTGTATGGGAAAGGAGGCGTAGCGATCTTGGGAAGCTTCACTAGGTGCTGATTTTACTCAGTGATGTTTGCTAAAGTTACGGACATCCCTTAACAGCAGAAATGAGTTTAAAGTTATCTGTCAGGTAACGCTTTGGAAATGGGTTCCAGACAACCTGTGCTATTATATGTCTCTTAAATGGGGAAGGGGATGGCAGTACCGAGCGTGATGAAATGTTTCCTAGCACCACCAATTTCTCTCTTAAGTGACATTTAGCTGTCTTTCAGCGGGAAGCAGCCTTTAATTCATTTTTGTATCCCAACATGAGCATTCAACAGGATATCTCCTTGTCTTGAAGAACTCTAGTGTTCTGTTAATGTGAGGAGAGGCTTCTGCAGAACATGGAGCTGTGCTGCTTGTCTCTTCCTACAGTCTATGTAACAGAAAGGAGATCTTAACACGCGTGGGATGCATTGCATCCCGCGGCAGGCTAGTCTTGCGTGTCTGAGAACCCGGCGATGATTTACATTACAACGTGTGATATTATACTGACATCATCTCTTTCAGGGAAAAACAATGAAAAAGGAGTAAGTTCCAAAAGAGAAACCAAGTCCACTGCAAGCAAGGAGTCCAGGCGCTTCATTTCAGACGGTGATGAAAGTGATCATGCAATCAATAGTACAAAAATTAAAACACAACTTTCTGTTAAGCTGAATTCCTTAAATACTGAAGTACTAAACAAATGCAGCTATAATAGCAGAATCCCAGGAATGACAACGGAAGAGAGAGAAACGGAACATGGAGAACTGACTATGTATCGGCAGACTTACAGGTACTCTTTAAGGTCAGCCAAACAACTTCTTCCAGGCAAGCATTTACCAGAAGAATTGTCAAGCAAAGAGGAGGAAGAGGAGTCCAGTGAAGATGTCCCACTGTCTATCAAAAGGAAAACTAAACCTTTATTAAAACCAGAGACTCAAAACTCTAAATCTTCCTCTAACTGTAAAAGTTCAGCTGATGTAAACAAGGTGTCGTGTGAGCAAAGGGCAGTAAACCACTCCACTGCCTCCCGTAATGTGCTGTTGAGGCAAAGTGTGCCCAGATCCACTGATGGTTCTGATTTAGTTGAAGGAAAAACACCTTCTAGCGAGTCTAGTGCTTCCCATCTGCCCGATAAGATGATGGGAACAAGAAGCAGAATCAACCCTCCAAGGTATTTGCTTCAACCTGACACTGAGTCTGAAACCAATGGAGAGGAGGAAGTTCGTGTAAAAGAAAAGAATTCAGAAGTACCTGATAAAAAAACAAATTGTAAAGTTTCTAATACTGCCAAGTCTTCAGCAGCAAAATCGAGAGAACCTGAGAGGGAAAAGGTGCAGAAATCTTTAGAACTTTTTCCAAAGGCAACTGATGGTTGGTCTGAAAAGGAGTTACAGAAGCTCTACAGGCAAGTGGTTGTCCTGTCTTCGCAGGGCAGTTTCTCTCGGACATTGAGAGGCATAATGTACTGGAGGGTCTGAATGGTCTGGATTTGGATTTTTCAGATTCAGCCTCTTTCCCGTTATTTTAAAGGTTTCCGTTACATTTTAATTCCCTCTTAAAAAATAAATTTTGTTAACAAATTAAAAATAGTGAAATAAAGGGGACAATTGAGTGTTTTCTAAAATAGCTGTCAATGCATCAGCCTATAGCAGCCCCTACCGCTGTCATCAGTGTAAAGTGAGAGGAACACAGATATTAGGCGAAATTTTGTGAATCTACTCCTCTACCTGTTTTTCAAAAACACATACTTAATCTTGTTAAAAGCGATAAGTGTTCCTGTAAGAAAAATTGAAAAGCATGAGTAGGTAAATAATATGGTAAAAGTATCCACATGTATGGTTTAGACAGTAAGGCAGAGGTGGCGTATTCCCTCCCCTAATGGAATAAAATGTTAAACATGATGTGCTTATGTATTTAAGTTTTGTAAAGGGGAGATTAACTGCAAGAATGTTTAATTAACACATTGTCCAATTACTTAAACTATTGGGCAGTATTTAATACGTAATAAAATGACCATATTTGGTTTTGTTTCTTTTAGATTAGAAACCTGAAAAGTCATGAGGTTATGTCTTGGGGAGGGTAGGGGGGGACCTGCTGCAAATAAGGAAGAAATTTATCTTCTAATGGAGCTGTTAACTTAAATTGTCCAACTAAATTTGCATGTTTTAAAGTGTCTGGACAAGATGCCAGAGAGTAGGTTCTCTCCACCCAAGGCACTGTGTCCTTTCTAGGCAGGGCAGTTGGTCTCTGGGTATTTTATGTGGCAGGGTTGTGTGGGTTCTTCTGCGTGACGAAGGTCGCGGGTTTGTTCTCTTGGCAGGGCCATTGCTTCGTTTCCAAAGCACAGGAATGGCTTCTGGGTGGAGGTGGCCATGGCGGTGGGCTCTCGCTCTGCTGAAGAATGCCATCAGAAGTACATAGAAGAACAACAGGCAAAAGGTTCCAAAACGCATGCCAAGAAGACCACCACTTCAAGAAAGCTAGAACAGAAAGGTACTGACGTCTTGTTTCTGGGTATTTTGTTGTCTTCAAATAATTTTAAATTTGGTATTTATTACGTAATGAGAGATATAGACATAAATGCACATCAGGGTCTGATAGTGAAGGAGGCCATCTTCTACAGAATAAAGGTTTGTTGCAGAGCTCAGAGGATGTCGTAAATGACTGAAGTAACAAGAAGATAAAGGATATTTTTAGAGTTTTCTAGTTTTTGGCATGATGAGAAGACTTAAATTGGCCTTGCAACCTAAGGGAAAATAGCTGTTTATATCCTCAGAGGCTCTTGGAGGCCTAGTAGCTAACGAGCTACTGGTAGAGCTACCTATCCAAAAAGGACACGGGGAGCTCAGGTGCACTAAGGGCAGCGTGGAGTAGGAACAGCAAAGTTCCATTCTCTGGTGCCTGGCACTGACGTGCCTGTTGCTGTTTCCTGTCCAGTTCCGAAGTCAGGAATTCCTGTTTAGGGAGAGCAAGCACGCTCTGAAGTGAAAGGCACGAGATGCTCAACCCAGTCATTTACCAGAGGGAAGGTCGCGATCGCTTGGTAAGCGCTGAAGTGAGGAAAGCCATTTGATAGCAATGCCTCTCGCTGACAAGGCGACGCCATTGTGCAGCCATTGGAAGCTGAAGCTCTAAGTGTTACAGAGCTGTGGGCAAAGATAACTCTGGTGATGTTCCTCGGTGTTTAAAGCTGTGCATCGGTCACCATTTACTGAAAAGCATTAAAATCCTTTTTTCTGCCCAAATGAGGTGATCCAGGTTACTCACGGTTACTGGACTTCACGCGGGAAAGGTTGACTCCAGTTATGTAGTCCCCGTAACGCAGAACCGACTCGATGGTCCCAACAGGTTCCCCTGCCCTTGAAGTCCGTGAGCTGTGATTTTGTGCAGACTTAGACAAGCAGCGGATTGAGGGTTCACGTGCAGGACAATGCACTTCATTTTACTTGAACGTTTCTTTGAAATGTTTGTCCAGTTACAGCACTTGTGTGAAAATCTGCTGGGCATCAGTTTTGTCATGAATTTGATAGTGGTGGTATGGTTCTCAAGTGTTTTGGAGCATAGATAGAAACTATCTTACTTTGACTATTATGGCATCAAAATTCCCTGCACTTGTGTGATTAGGAAAGCTTTTTCTAATGTTGCTGATCTCCTATAGAGAATGTTTTCCTGTTTCACCCTGGTATTAGACATTATCAGACTGCAGCTTAACAGACGACACAATTGTTTTGGTTAGTGAGTGTTCACAAAGGGTCAGTCTGCCCCAGTGGTTTTAAGGTTTTTTTGCTTTGAGGAGAGCAGTGATTGGGACCTCTTGGACTCACCTGGACCTTTTCAATACTAAGACACTCTAAAATGGCTGTAGCAAAGCAAAGGACTAAATGCAGTCCTGCATAATACCAAGCAAGGAGTTTTCTTGGCAGTTAGGAGCTGTTCATTGGCTTTCTCCCAGAAAGCGAGTGCATCCTGTTAACGATGAATCTTAGCATAGATACAAAAATACTTTGTTCCTCTGAAAATCTGTGAACTGTGGATTAATTTTCTTCTTTACTTGACTGTCTGCATAAGCAGCTATTTTAGGTTTTGTCTGAAGATGAGGATACTGGGAAGATGTTCTTCTAAATTTGCCCAGAAGGTAACTTGTAACGGAAAGCAGAGGATAGGAATACACACACCACCAGTGGAAGTGACCAAGTCCTTTCTTTCCTTCGAGTAGGTTTAATGGCTGATTGTTTAGGTGCGGTAACAGGACTAAGGTTTGCGAAGGATACAACTGTATATGCTAAAGTCTCAGATAAGTGTTCCAGAAACCTCCTGTTGAGGATGCGAAATTGGTCTCTGTGCAGCAGAGCTTTTGTTTGAGCAATTTATGCCTCTTGACGTGGGCGATAAATCTTGATGTCTTTTGTCTCTAAAATGCAGCTGCATGGATAATTCTCTTAAAACCATAATAAAATAGCTGAGGTATGACACTTGCAATGGCTATGTAAGGCTCTACAGTAAGCTCACAATTAAGATGTATTGTAGAAATTCGTTTTGAAAGCATAAATTGTATAAGAACACAAAGGATCACAAAGAAGCTATAAGGCATTTCTACAAAGGACAGCCGGGACTCTGTACCACTAGCATTAATGGTAATTAGCGAATTTTAAAACCACGCTACATAACTGATGTCTTGGAACAATTAATATTTTGATTCCTGTAGATAAGAAAGAGCCAGTTACGATAACTGCCAAAATGGGAACCTTCAAAAGAAAGCAGCAGATGAGAGATTTCCTGGACTGTTTGCCGAAGGACAACCATGATGATATTTTCACTGCAACGCCCTTTCAGAATAGAAGAGTGAAGGTAAATCTGGGAAAACAGCCTATCTATGCCTGTGCTCTTCTGGTTGGTATTTCAAGGGTGCGTTACGAGTCTGCTGGTTCAGCTCCGTCCGTAACGTCTTGCGGATGTGGAGGAAGAGGCTTATTCCCATGATTTGTTACTGCAATATTTGGATTGTCAGCAGTGAGAACGGGTGGAACGTGGCTTCCGCAGAGAAGCGTTACAGTTGAATGGATGTGTAAAACCAGTCGGTGGTAGGGGTGGCCCTTCTGCCTCTGTGCGGGAGGAACTTCTGCTGCTGTGAAGCGCTGGTTGTGCAGTGATACCGCGGTCCTGGGGACAACCGCCAGATCCTTGTGCTGTGGAGCCGGGTACTTTCTAAAGCCACGCTGATACTTAACAGGATTTTCTTTCTTTCTCTTCTCTCTGCGCATCTCATATTTAAAACCACTCGCATCTCGATGCTGTCTGGGGATGCGTCTCTCTTTGGGAGTTCTCTTATGCTCTCGCCCCGGCCCTTGCCTGTTGTTCACTTGCTCTCTCTGATTTGTTGCCTGTTTGGGCAGAAGAGCTGCCTTGTTTCCTTGGCCAGGCTCACTGTCAGCCACCGAAGCAGGCAGAATGCCCTCCCCTCCCGCTCCACCGGCAGCCCCCAAACATACCCTGCAGATGGAGAGCGCTACCGCATCGCTCTGATAAGCCTCCACTTCGCTGTGGTGAAGCGCGATTATGCACTCTAGATGTTAGTTAAGACTCTGCTTTCATATGTAAAGAGAAAGTCCCTCATTTATCAAGAGAATGACTTCATTTTTTTCCCCTGTAGAGAATTTTTAAAGTAGTATTTCATGATGCATCTAGACCAAGCTAGCTCTCCCTATTAGAACTAGCACCTCCGTTCCAGCAGGGGCTCCAAGCGACACCTGTCCGTCTCTTGATAAATTGGTTCTTTTGTGGTTTTTCTCTGTAGCAACAGCGCATTTCTTATTCTGGCACGCATCCAGAGGCAGAGTAACACCATGGCTCGTTGGAAGGTCAGAACTTAAGCAGTGTTAACTTTATTGCTTTCCATGAACTGCAGTGTGCTAGGGAGAAATCCCCGTGACCAGTACCAGCAGATTGGCTATGAAAGAATTGATGCATCCGTGTCCAGGACACCCGGTTTTTGCAGAGGGATTCTCCAGGAGACTCCTCTTTGAGTAGAAAAGAGTTCCTTCCCCCCAGCCCCGAATTAATTTTGCCTAGCCTGTGCTGCACAAAAGAGACTAACCTCCTGCTGTCGTGTGTGGTGAGAGGTGTACCTCCAGAGAGAGGTTCTCTGTCTTGAGAGTCACGAGCGGATTTCCCTTCCCTGAACGAGTCCAGCCCCTCCTCGAACCCATGCCGACTCTTCACATCTGCAACTTCTTGTGCTCAGTTCCAGAGCTCAATTTTTTGCTGTGTGAAGAAGCACTATCTTTTATTTGTTCTGAACTTGCATCTGCTGACGTTGTCCTCCTCTTCTCATGAGGAAGAGACGGTGAACAACTGTCCTGGTCCCTGTTCACCCGTTGTGTCTCTCCCCTACCAGGACCTGCTGTGCTTTTGATCATCTGTGGTGCTCCTCTCTGAACCTTACCGGTTCTCCTCTCTCTCCAAAATGAAAGAACCAGAAGTTCACCGAGTAATCCTGAAATCCTCCTCCTGAGTAGCAATGGTCAGCTTTGAGCTTGTAAATTTAATCAGAAATTATTTTTTAATGCATAGTAGCAGCCAAAAAAGGCCAGCAAAATGTTGGGCATCAACGGGAGGAGTATTAAGAGCAAGATGGAGGCATCACTTGGCTGCGATGTCGAGTCCTTGCATACCCGTGTTGTGTGTACTGTGCGCATTGCTGGCTTCTGCATCTCAAGAGGGACATAGTGGAGTCAAAAAAGCTGCTGCAGTGAGCAAGGGAATGGAGCGACTGCCTCTTGAGGAGAGAACAGGGAGTCTGGGACCCCTGCCTTTGGGGAAGAGGGACACAACCGAGGTTCACAGAGTCGTGAGGAGGCTGTGTCCTAGTGCCGCTCTGAGACAGATCCGTGAGAAGTCTTTTCAGCAGGCTGCTGTTAAAAAGGACAGGTCATTGATTGCTCTGATGTGGCTTTGTAGTTGCCAACGTTCCGGGGAAGCCAAGATGATGATGATGACGACTTTGCACTTACGGACAACCCAATTACACCTGCCTCAGCTGTCTTCCCTCTGGTGAAAACCCCTCAGTGTGAGCATATCAGCCCTGGTATGCTGGTACCCATCAACAGGTAGGAACTGTACTACTGCTCCTCTGCTAACCTTTTCCTTTCTCATTTTCCCCAAGATTGTGTTTTGTCTTCTGAGAAAGATCACTCTTGGAACTGTGACGCCACCTCACTTCCAGACTCAGAGCATGCATAGGAAATCACAGAATCACATTATCATCAGGGTTGGCAGGGCCCTCTGGAGATCACCCAGTCCAACCCCCCTGCCAAAGCAGGGTCACCTACAGCAGTTGCACAGGATCACATCCAGGCGGGAGAGGGAGCCCCCACGGCCTCTCTGGGCAGCCTGTGCCAGGGCTCTGCCACCCTCACAGTACAGAAGTTCTTCCTCATGTTCAGGTGGAACTTCCCGAGTTTCAGTTTGTGCCCGTTGCCCCTTAACCTGTCGCTGGGCACCCCTGAACAGAGTCTGGCCCCATCCTCTTGGCACCCACCCTTAAGGTATTGATAAGCATTGATGAGATCCCCTCTCAGTCTGCTCTTCTCCAGGCTGAACAGACCCAGTGCCCTCAGCCTTTCCTCATCAGGGAGATGCTCCAGTCCCCTCATCATCGTCATTGCCCTCCACTGGACTCTCTCCAGTAGTTCCTTGTCTGTCTTGAACTGGGGAGCCCAGAACTGGACCCAGCACTCCAGATGAGGCCTCACCAGGGCAGAGTAGAGGGGGAGGAGAACCTCCCTCGACCTGCTGGCCACACTCTTCCTCATGCACCCCAAGGTACCAATGGCCTTCTTGGCCATGAGGGCACATTGCTGGGTCACAGGCAACTTGTTGTCCGCCAGGACTCCCAGGTCCTTCTCTGCCAGGTTGCTCTCCAGCAGGTCAGCCCCCAGCCTGTACTGGTGCATGGGGTTATTCCTCCTGAGGTGCAGGACCCTACGCTTGCCCTTGTTGAACTTCATCAGGTTCCTCTCCGCCCAACTCTCCAGCCTGTCCAGGTCTCGCTGAATGGCAGCGCAGCCTTCTGGTGTGTCAGCCACTCCTCCCAGTTTGGTATTGTCAGTGAACTGGCTGAGGGTACGCTCCGTCCCTTCATCCAGGTCGTTGATGAGTAAGTTAGAAGCTGCACCCAGTCCTTAAGGAATTTGTTGAGAGAAAGGTCTTCCCTTTGATGGCGTGTGCCGTTTGAGCTGCTTGCCTAAGTGTGGGCAACACAACCAATGCCAATCACGTGTCCTTTTGCTCTTGGAGAAGGTAGTGAGTGCGCTGGGCTTCAGCCTCAGCAGGGGTTTCTCTGCTCGTTTTGAGTCTTAACCTGTTAACCCAATTGCTTCAGACTTTACTGAAACTGGAATCGTCTTGAAACTTGCCGAGTATGTGACATCTTACCTAAAGGACAAGAAATGAACTTTGGGAAGATGACGAAGCTTTGTCTGATACTTGCATTAGGAGTCCTAGCATGTGATCTAATTAAGCAGTTCTGTGGTGTGACTCTCAGAGCTGCTGTTATATTTAATTGACCAACAACTGGTTTTAATGGCCATGCTAATTTTCTTTCTGAATTAGCACTGTACGTATAACGCCTTTGGCTGTATGCAGTGAATTCCGTAGGCGGTGACACTAACGTGCGTGCTTACATCGGCAGGAACGATTGCGACAGGCACCTGTTCAGGATGCAGAAGCAGCAGCAGGGCAGCAGAGGCACCTGGGGCAATGTCAAGAAGACATCGGTAATGCTGGTTTCCTTCAATGTTGCCTAGTTCCGCCTTCACCAGGCAAGGTTTTGCTAAGCGGCAGGCACAAGAATGCCGGGATCACAGAGCGGTGTGTACAGTCAAGAGGGAAAACAGGGCCCCTCCCGCGCTTCCTCCCAAACTTTGGGGTTTTGTATCTACTTCGCTTGGAGAAAAGTTTTCTCTTAGAAAAGAGCTACTTACTGGCAAGATTAAATACGTTGCTTTTTTTCAGGAGTTGTAATTTTGAATTCTGTGATCTGTAGGTACATTAAGTTCCCCGTTACATTCTTCTGTACGCTGGGAAAGGAAACAATCATCCTCACCTTGTATCAGATAATCCGTGAATTTATGTATGTATTCCTTCCGTATCCTAGGGTTTGTAATCCTTCTGGCTGTTGATGAACAGCGGCGATCCCAGCAGCAGGACAGTGGCTCGTGCCTCCAGTGTAGCGAAGGCAGTTGTGGTAACTGAACAGGGTCAACTTTTAGTGCAGCTGCAGCACGGCGCCAGGGCAGCCTAATTCCAGTGCCGGGCTGAGCCCCCGCCAGCCCCCCGGCTGCTGGATGCTGCCCGCGCCGGTGTCTGAGCAGAGCCCTTTTGTCCTTTTTTATCAGGCCGGAGAGGTGCTTGGTACGCCAGCTTCGCACAGGACCAAGTTCAGTCTTGATAAAAGTAAGTGGGCTTTGTTTCTCCTCCTTCGTTTCAGGCTCCTTCTCTCACTTTCACCTCACCGCTGGCTTGTCGGGTGCCCACAATCTGTGCGCGTAACACTTTTTCCCCAGTCTGTTTCTCACGAGCGTCTTTGCTTTTTGGACCCTCTGTAACTGCCTGTCAGGCGGTGGCAGACACGCCAATAACCCCCGGTTTTCTCATCGCAGAAGTGAAACAGGCCTCGATTGTGGGGAAGCTCTTTGTGGCTGAGGCAACGGACTCATCAGATGAAGAGGAGGACGATTCCTGTTTTTCCATGTAATGAACTTTGTGGGTTTTATTAGTTCAACCTCTGGTACAAAGCAAAGGGGTCTGGCACCCCTCCGCAGTGGTGTTCCTGTCCTGTTAAGAGTTCAGTTTGGAAAGCCTGACCTGCAGTGTTTTTATGCATTTTAACACACACCCCCCATTGCCTGCCCAGCCATGTTTGTCATCTCCCACAGGCACAAAGGGCTCGGGCTTCTCCTTACCGTTACCCTGCTTCTCCTGGGGGAGGGAGAAATGCGCACCACTACCAGCTGCTGGCAAGGTTTGCTTTGTTTTACGATAAAATACCTTGAAATACAGATGTACAATAAATTTATAGTAGTACAGATGTAAACTAATTGCAATTGCTTTTCAATTTCCTGTAGTGAGAGTCTGAATTTTTACATTTCCTTAATGTAATAAAAAAGGACAAATTATTTTACTCGCGTGTGAATTGGACTCTTTGTGGGAGAGCGGCAGCATGCACAAGGTGTCCCTCAGGCTTGTCGGTCTTGTTACCTGGGCCTGTCAAGTTTTCATCCTCGCTTTTGTTTCTAAACAGGCGTGAACGGCAGACGCCAGCCCGGTGCTGGTCCGTACTGGACCCACACCCTTCTCTCTTCGTTTCCCTCACTGCTCTTCATGAACACGCTCCAGAAAGGGAGAGGAAGGAATAAAATACCTGTTCCTCTGCCAGGTGGCCACGGTGTGGCAGCAGCAAGCCACGCGTGTCCCAGGCGGCCCGTGGGTGGGGACCGGTGAGGCAGCGGTCGCGGGCAGCTGCGAGCCCACCTCAGAACAAGGGCACGGACCTGCTGCCCGCGGCCTCCCGGCCCTGCTTCGGACCAGCAAAGCCTTCGGTGTTCTGGGCAAGAGGGATACGGAACGTTTGGCAATTCGCTTTTTTCCTAGGAAACGCGAGTACCAACCTTGCTGTAAGTGGCAAGGAACTGCAGTGCCCTTCTCTCGCCACCCAAAAGCTTTACTTTGCCAAAACGCTTCAGCCGTCCTTGTCATTGTTAAAGGAATTTTGGAACGCTCATACCCAGCAAAACAGAACCCAGTCTCAGCCGCGGCGGTCGGGCACGGGGCCGGCCTGCGTTGCACAGCGGGCAAAAGCTGCGTGACACAGCGGGCAAAGGCAGATGTGTGAGTGCCCGGCGGTGACACAGCCTTCCATCAAGTGGCAAACAAACAGAATTGGATGGACTTGATGTTCTGCAAGTATTTATTTACATATTTTACAGCGACTCAAAACTCAGTAAAGTGCAATTAAAAGAAAACAGCCTGGGGGGGTCCCAAAACCAAGTTTCACTCCTGTCAGCTCTTGGCAGCTGCATTGCTTCTCCCCTTAGCGCAGAGGTTCTCGGGCAGCAGCTGCACGTCAAAGCAGTAGTGGAGGTAGCGGTAGATCTGCTCTGCCTTCCGCGGGCTGACCTGGGCACTGGTGGCGATGTCGGAGGGGGAGCTGTAAGAGACCACAGCAGGAGGGCACCTCACCTGCAGCTCTTTGGCGTCCAGTGGGTGAGACCGGGACAAAGGGGGGAACTGTCAGGGGGCGAGAAGCCTCCAGTGTGGAGAGAGCAACAGGCCGGTCATCGCGCTCCAGGTTTCCGAGGGCTGTGAGCACACCCGACTAAGGAAGGCTAGGAAAGCTGCAGTGAAAACGGAACGCCACGAAAGGGGAAGAGGAGAGGTACTGCGGTAGGAGGGATGGTGGGAGCAGGGCCCTGTCATTGCCCCGCTCTGCTCAGCCTGAAGACTGAGAAATGCACAAAGAGCAGGGCTGATGTGGAGACAGGAAAGCTCCCGGGGAGCTCTGGCAGGCACTGAGAGGTGCAGACAGGATCTGCCTGAGCACGAACTCCTGGGTGAGACGGAGGAGCGAAAGGCAAGTCAGGCCTCAAAGCACGCACCGTGCATCTCTGCTCTTACCTGTTCACCATCGTCTTCACGGAGTCAAAGTGATGGCACATGTTGAGAGCAGCCGGGTAGCTGAGATTAGGGATGCTCAAGTAGAAGTTGAGCATTTCCCGTTTGTGACCCTCCACCTCCGTCGGCACGCGGATGGCAGCATTTTTTCTTTGCTCCACCAATGCCAGGCCTTTCAGCAAACCGGCAGTTTCCTCTTGGCAAGAGCTAAAAAGAATTCGGACCCCAGCCTGGACCAAGGCTGAGAGCACACCGTCATAATACTGTGTTCTCTGGAAAAATCGTGACGTTTCTCCTGCAGAGTGAAAATACAGAAAACTCAGTGAGATCCAAGTGCTAAATTACTGTGAAAAATCTAATATGAATCACCTGCGAAGCAAAATGGCTCAAAGATCCCCTGCTTTGAGAACCTGCACCCAAAGACAAGATGAGGGAAACCATCGCAAGGAAAGGAGGCAGGAGGGGTCGTAGGAGCAGGATTTACTTGGTTATTTGAGAGGTAGAGTTTAGGAATTAACACTGAAACTGCAAATTAAATGTCGTTAGAGAGGATTGGGAGGAACACATGGTAAGTGATGAACAGCAGGACAGGCCAATCAGAAGAGGCTTGGTAAAGCTACGAAGGTAAGAATGCACTTGAACACTGCCAAATAAGAAACCAGCAGCACTCTGGACCCCGCGTAATGAGAAAAACTGGACAAAACCGATGAAAATGAATGACACCTTCAGCAGCAGGGTAAAAAGGCAGCTCAAACAATCCGCTTATCTACAGCCCCCTCTGAGAAGCTACATCTTCAGTGACCAATTCTATCATTGTTTCCGTATCTGAACCATCAATAAATTAGATTTATGTCACAAAACCAAAGCTGCATCCACAACAATTCGATTTCAATAGTGGAGTTTTATATCCCAGAATGTCTGTAATTTAATTGGAGCTGTCAGCTTTAGTTCTGGCTTCTGTGAAGTGGGTGCAAGCAAGACATCTCCATTATTTTCTAGATGGCACTCAGAATAGACAGCATTAGTAAAATTGTTTAATTGCATAATTTGGATCTTAGGATTAAAACAAATGGCTTGTCCAAACTATATAAATTAAAGAAATAGTCTTGAATGTTCCACCAATGTTTAATCAAGTCAGGAGGCGTCTCTGAGGCTCCTCAATTCTGTGCTTTGTGACACGAGGCAAGAGCCCAAACACAGCCCTCCCAAAGTGACTCTCTGTAGAGGCGCTCCTCTTGTCTTTTTCTAAAAACGGATTTCATTCAGCTGAGTATCTTTCGCTTGCTCAGGCAGCAGCCATCACTTGGTTTGGTCTCTACACTTTGGAGGCAGACTTAACACGTGGGATGGTGTGCTCGGGCCAGCTACCGTTCCCACTGGTTCTAAACCCTGAGCGTTTTCCTGTACAGTCTGAAAGACACCACTTGTTAGGTTACTGCTAGAAAACATATTTTTCTTGAGTCCACTATTATTTTAATGCCAAGCATAGGCAAGATGATTGTGCTTGTTCCTTTATTCTACTATTCTCACCTTCCTTGTTGAAATCTGTCTTGAACTTGGAGGTTTTTTGCACATACTAATATGGTCAGTTAGTACTGTTTAACTTGCTTTTCTCTGTTTCAGTAATTAGTAAGCAATGTATACCTCTGGATCCAGTTGTGTCTCTCTGCCTGTATTAAATGGCCCTCCAAAGCAAAGCAAGTTTTAATGTTCAGCTGGTGACCTTATTACTGTAATACTCCTACAGAGACTAAAGGACAGGCTTTCGATCTACTTTCCGTCCCGTATTACACACAAAGCCAGTGCGGCCAGTGCAAGCCTTGAGCAGAGACCAGTGCATCCCTGTGCTGCCCCCGCCGGGGAACACCTACCTGTTTTAATCCTGTCCTTTTCCACAATCACACATATTCTCTCAAACATGCTCTGCAGGCGCTGGATCCGCTGCGTGACTTTATTCCTGTTCACAGAGTTCAGCAATTCTGACAGAAATTTCCTTTCCACGGCCATGCGGTTGCTCACGACGTAATCACCACTGCTCAGCGAGCAAACCTGCACCTTTACTCCATGCACTGCCTTCAAGGAAGAAATCACCTCTGCTCCAGAGGAGATCTCACGACTGTCTACCAGAATACAGAGTGGAGGGTTTTTCTCCAGAGGGTCATGTGAAAACGGAGCTGGAGCTGAAAAGGCTTTTGTGGAAGCAGAACAAGATGGAACTGAAGTGCTCCTACAGGTGTTCTTCAAAGAACTTTCCGCCTGTAAATGTTGGAAATCACACAGTATTTCTAAGCGATCACAGAAGCATAAGGCCAAAGAACAACATGCCATTAAAAAAGAAGAATCTGTTTTTCAAATACTGCTGCTTAACAGATACACTTTCTGCCATGTTTTGTTTTTAAATGTAATTAATAAAATATTTGTTTAAAAAAAAAAGATTTTTTTTGATATTGCAAAACATTAACACTTTAATCCCCTATAAACAATCTCCCAAATTAGTTGATCTAATTATTTATAGCAGCTTGAATGACAAAAGCAAGCAGCCTTCACTAATGGCTTCAACAAAAACTGAATACCATGACTGATACAAGTCAGGCAGAAGTGTGTACAAGATCAGGAATCCAATTGCAGATGATGAAGAGTCTTAATTTAGGACAGCGAACAAGTATTTTATAACTACAAAACCCAAAGAATTAGTGGATGCTCTCTACTGTTTGGAATAAATCCATATTCCTCCATGATTGCCAGACTCTGGATAGTATCTAATCCCCAATTTTTATTTATTGACTGCTAAGATACTCTCCAAGTTATCCTGGGAGTACAAAAGCTTCCTGCACCAAAGAAAAGGGAGAGGATGTAAAGCAGTACAAGCAGAATGGACCTGCTCCTTTAACACCAGAAACACACTCACTCCTGCTGCCGTACTGCTGACAGCCCTGGAGAGAACAGTGCAATAGGACAGGTTCCCACCAGGTGGGAAATGGGAGGTGAGAGGAAGGTCCTTGTTTTGAATTAACACCGACCTCCCTGGGAGCCTGGAGATCCGCCTTCCCCGAATCAGAACTAGTGACAGCTGGTGGAAAGCACACGCTCCTGACTTGATGCTCTGGGTGAAAATCCAGCATTTCAGATACGGAAGCTTTCAAGCCAAGAAGCATCTCACTTTTATCCTCCACAGACTGATGAACAACAATTTCCCCAGCAATCTTTTTGTGCTGCACAGAAGAGACCGTAGGCAATGACTTGGGTAACTTAGCATTTTCCTGTTCTGCCCTGAAACAGTCTGTTTTCATGGGCTTCTCATTGCTGACACTTGTTTCTTCCTCACTGGAATCGCTGAGAACAACAATTCGAGATGGTTTCTTCTTTTGCATTGGGACACAGTAGTTTTCTTCCATGGCGGCCTGGTTTAATTTTTTTCTCCGGCGAGTGAGGTATTGTTTTTTTCCACTAGTAAAACTCTCATTATTTAGGAGATCAAAATTAACACACACTTCTTCCTCACTAGATTCAGTTTTTTGGCAAGTTTCCTCTTCCTCCTCTCCAACACAGAAACTGTCTTCTGCATACGCCTGGTCTTGCTCAGGAATCTGTCGGGAGGAAAAACCAAACCCAGTAAGTTTTGAAACACTGTAATGATCTTGCTCCTCCTCTCCATACATGCACTTTGCTTATCCAGTCCATCCACGCACAAGCACTATGGGGCCTAGGGGCTTCCCGCACCTCTGAAACCCTGGAGGGCCCAACACACTCGTACGGTGCACCCTGGAACGAGCGTACGCTCGATTCATCACCAGAAAGCTTTTAATGGGAATATTGATTCTAGTAGCACAATAGAAACAAGACTCGCTTGCTAACAGTCCTACCAAACAGGCTGGATTACAGACAGGAATATCTCCTTTGCCTGTCTCTGCAGAGGGGGAAGGACTCTGAACCGCCACGCTTGCACACTCAGGGCAAGCTGGGCTTTTGCACACAGAAAGGCAGATTCCACACCTTGTGCCACATGCACAACGAACGCGGCAGCACACACGCAAGGCTTCCTGGCAGAAGCACTTTATGATGCCTTTGCCATGTGTAAAATGAAATGGAAGGTCAAGTTCTGCATTTTCAGCAACACTCTGCCTCGGCTGAAACAACAACAAATTGACATAATAAGCTGAGGCTGCCCGGAAATCGAGTCCCATGCATTCTTCTTACCTGCTTGCAAATAATCAGCGAGTGCAACCTGAATTTTTGTGTGTTAACCAAAAAAAAAATAAAAATAAAAATAAAAAAAAAAATAGTGTTTTATCCTTTTCATTGAATATAGTTCTATTTTATTTTGCCGAAGGTGATATAAAGACTAGGAATACAGGAAACAGAAAAAACCCTGGAGGGGGAGATAAGGAACCATCCTGAACATCTGTTTTTCCAATTCTGTGACTTCTTTGGTCACTATGAAATGACAAGGGAAAATTAAGTAACTAAAAAATACTGTACAAGTGATTTATATCATAGGATATGTGAAGAGTTCAGAGTAAAACAGAGCCCAGAAGACAGATCACGCAGGAAACGTCTCAGCTGAGCGCTGTGGAGGGGGAACACGGCCAAGTGTGACAGAAACCGCAACAAGCCAGGAGCAGGCAGGGGAAGAAATTAACGTTTCCAAAGAAGCTCCGTTGTAATAACCCAGCAATGCTTCACTGGCCCCTTTATGAGTACACAGAATTAGCGCATGATGATACCGTACGTAACAGGGCAAGAGCCTGGCTAAGGATCCGCTTTGGAGAGTCACTCCTCCTCAGCAATTGCCCCACGCAAAAGGTCAGTCTCCAGTAACACTGGGGACAGTGGACAGCAAGAGGCAACCTGCTACAGAGTGCTGAGGAGCAACAACAAGCACTGTTCAATTGCTACCTTATTTTGTCTTAAATGTTTCCAAACTTACATCTCAGGAGCTCACCTTGTACTTGCTAGAGAGAATATGATCTACTGGCACTGCTCCTTGTCTGGCGACAAAAGCACAGGGCAGTCTGACGTACAGCTGGGTAACAGGCATATGCCAAACTGTTACACCTCTATTAGGGGGTTCCTTGTTTCACCAAATTGGGAAGTGCGTTAAGAGACTGGAAGCATCACATGCCAGGTGAGGGGACTCTTCCTTGGAAGATGTCAGTCAGTATCCTTTGTGGCAGTGGAAGACACTGGAGAGGGGGAGGTAAGCTTCCGACTCTGGAAGCACCGTGCAATCCTACATCGATCAACAATGATCACTGTAACACCTCCGCTCTGCGGTGAAAAGACAACCAGGGACTGGGAAGCTTTTGCTTCAGACTGGTTGACAGCCGCTCTCCGGCTGAAGAGCAGAGTGCATATGCTTCGATGAAAGCATACGTGTCTGCACACTTTAGCTTAAAAAAAAAATCAAAATGAAGTCAAAAGTCGTTTGTCAGAACTTCTTATTTATCAACAATAGGCTGCAAACAACACTTGAAAGTAGGATTAGAACCTAAATACAATCACATGCAATTGGAATTTCACAAGGACAGAAGTCGTTTCGTTTCATACCTGTGAGAAAATTGCCATGTTGTTGAATTCACGATGAACCATTTTGTATCTATTGCCAAGAGCTGGACTACGCACAGATTTCAGGTAAACTCCTTTCATCTCACAGTCTGAATGAAAATAAGAAGATAAAAGAGAATACAGTATTATTAAGGATATAATCTTTAATTCATTATTGTTACATCGTGTTTTCCATATTAAGTAATTCCTTTATAGTCTCCCAAAAACCTGTATTTCACAAAACAAAAATCTGAAATTCCCCAGACATCTCTGAAAATCCCAAAGCAAAGGACTAGGTCTACCCACTTGCCATCATGAAAGCTGCCACGCAGGTGGCTTTCTCAGCAGGCAGAGCTCTGGATGGCCATAGCAGGGAGAAGGGCAATGTTAACCAGAGGAAACCCACTCACTCAGGTTTCCCTGGTGCAGGTCTCTCCCAAAACAGACACAACTACTGATTTCAGAGACTGTATGAGAAAGGAGTGTGTTTACTAAAGCCCACACAAGATCTTTCAGGGAACAACTCACAATTTCAGTGGAGGAGGAGAATCCTCAGCAATATCTGGGAATCTTAAATGGTAATAACATGATTCCATCATGCAAACGTCCCAGGGAAAGGCAAGGTTCATAAGCACAGGGGTAAGTAAACCATCTCAGCCAAAGAACAGCATTACCTTCTCAGCTCTGTCAGTGTCAGCACTAATTTTACCTTTAACATTCATATTGTTATTTCATATCAGATTTTAAGTCTCTCTGTAACAGAAGACCTGAAAGATTCAGAAATTTCTAAGTGAAATGGAAAATTGTGTTTCTGTTCAGACATACTGGTGTATGAGGGGGTGGCTGACTCTTAGCGAGAGGAGATCTCCTGCCCCCGCAGTCCCAAAGAACTGACTCCAGCCTGCCCAAAGCTATTGCACGGTAGAGACTCCAGTGGGGAACTTACTACATAAGAAAACCACACAAATAAAACCAGAAAAGGTACAAACGGATAATGCAAAGCACCTGATTTATCACAGCTGAGGAGGTTACTGCTTATTAACTGACACATGCTGACACAGTAGCTGACCGAATGGCCATGCCTAGCATACACCACATGCTAAGCAACATCCCTTATCTCAGAACCATAAACAACTCTCCTCATTCACCATTTAACACTTGTGTGACCTCTGCATCATCATTTAGGAACTGAGCAAGTGAAGAGTTCAGCTCATTCTCGGCATCATCACTCTCATCAGATGAAACACCATCTGCATCTTGCTGGGACAGCTCAGCTTCTTCATCTAAAAACTGTCTTGCTGCATTCTAAAAGAGAAAAATATCCAAACAAAATTTTAGTTAGAAGCTGGCTCCCAATTAACTAGTGTTACATATGAAACCTCTGATTAAATCAGTTCATGACTTCACAACATCAGCTGCTTAAATGATCACAGATATTAGGCTTCTGGCTTTGAAAAGAGAATCCATCACAGGGAAAGGTGATGTACAAAACACAGAGTTCAGTGAAATACATGAGAGCGCACAAACATCTGTCCCACCAGCACTGAAGGGTGAAGCTGGCACCGATTTCAAAGCACCGGCCAGAGGTAACCACATGCGTAGCACCATTTGCACCTAGACTAGGTAACAGTACAGGCAGAGTTTACTAAAGCACTGTAGCTAAGCTACCTGAAAATATTACATTATTTTGTAACTTATAAACCCAGTTTTACTCATTTTATTTGCTTTCAAAAATCTGTTTTGATTTAGAAGTGCTGGATTACTCTGAACCCAAGTCGACTAGAAACTTCAGATACAGACTTCACAAGATACAGGACAAGAGGAAATGGTCTCAAGTTGTGCCAGGGGAGGTTCAGGTTGGATATTAGGAAGAACTTCTTCACTGTAAGAGTCGTTAGGCATTGGAACGGGCTCCCCAGGGAGGTGGTGGAGTCACCATCCCTGGAGGTGTTCAAAAAATGTTTAGATGTGGCGCTTCGAGACACGGTTTAGGGGGTTTAGTGGGCATCGTGGTGTTGGGTAGAAGGTTGGACTTGATGATCTTTGAGGTCTCTTCCAACCATAATGATTCTATGATTCTGTGATTCACACTGGTTTGCCCTTTTCTGTTCAGGACTTAGGATTAATTGTTTCATGAATTCATCACACAATGCAACTCATTATTGAGAAAATGCTCTTCTTTCAGGGAAGATGAGGCACTTCACATGTGAACTGCAGTCCAGGAGATGATACAAACCTTGGTACTAAATTTCACCAAAACCAGACAACAAAACATTCACAAAAATGTACATGGAAACAAAATAAATGAATTCAGGAAGATGTTTTGTCAGAGATACTTTATATTAAGCTAACTTTTTCTCTTATAATTACAGCTATAAAGTATTAAAGTAAAATATGAAAAAAGCCAAAAAACATTATGTATCCCAATTACTCCAAAAGAATGATTTTTTTGCCTTCAAAATACTTTGAATAAAAAGCACAAAGCCGTGAATTTTAGTTTAGTACACGGAATACCAGGGCATCTTGTGCTACAAGAAGTGACGTCTCTGATTTTCTAATTTTCCTAGGTCTTTTATTTAATTGCTTACACCAATTAGCAAGCCTGAATGACAGGCATTATTAATAGCTCCTTTTCTAGAACAGTTTTGATTATTCTGAAACACACTAGAGGTCACCTGTTTACAGGAAAGAACTCTCAATGCTATTGCCAATTAGTCTTAATCCTTCTTACTTGTGAAGGACTATGGAGAGGACAAACCCCGCAGCGTGAAAAGCACTGCGAGACCAGAAACTAATAGTCAAGAGTCCGGTCACACTTGGGAATCAGTAAGTTACCAGGTTCTTAAATTATTGAATCTTTCAATTCAGTGTCAGCAGCTATTTTGGTCAGTTCTCACAACGTCTGTTAATTTAACTGCACGTCTCTGCTGCACTTACAACTCCATTACCTGTACCTCTGACAGAACACTGTAACTGGTGGTAGGCTGATGAGAATGACCCTGATGTCTTGGATCTTCTGTGGCTCTGCAATTCTGACATGTTCATCACTATGGATGTTTAGCTAAGATGATATGTGAAGGCAGAGTAGAATTTCTAAGTATACACACACTCTTTTCCACAAACCTTTTGGTCTCACATTAAAAAAAAAAGTTGAAACCATTGGAGGAGGTGGTAATTTCATATGATTGGGTATCCTAATAGCATAAGTTCTGGACAAGAACCTGAGCTTCCCGAGTCTGACTAATCTTTCAGTATCTTCTACTTGTAATGTAAATTGTTACTTTGCTTCAGACCATTATTATGCTTCGGAATATTATCTGCAGGGCCCTGCAGATTCCTCTGAAAGTCAGGCAATGGATGTGAGGGTTAAGATTATTATCCAGTGTTTCAAGATTTCATCTCAAATGTTTGCAATAAACTTGTGTGAAATCGCTGTGAGCCTCAACCCTCCTAAACAATGCCTTAAAAACAAACAACTCCCCAACTGCATGCCTACTATAATACAGTTGTATCATGAGATCCTACAATGCCATAAAATAGACAGAAGCTCTGTTTTTTAGGCCGTAAAATACACACAAGCTCCACAATGAGTGACTCAATGGCATAATAAACTTTCATCTTAAGTATGTGAAACCAGTGCTCAACATTTCTGACATTTTCATGGTTTTCTTTTTTCCCAAATACAGACAAGTTAGAAAATATTTTCAGTTCATTCTTGCAGTTTGAACAGAAAGTAGAATCTCACTAAGCCTCTTTCCATCTCTTTTTTTTTGGTTTTGTTTGGTAACATGTGCTGCTCACATTCAAAGAAGCATTCTTCTGAAGTAGGTTTTACCATATTGCAAATGTGCACTTACATACGTACACACGCATATGACAAAGCACAGCAGCTATCTCCATTGCAACTTCAGCGCAAACTGCTCCAAATATGATCTTCAACATATTAAGAGAGACATGCAACATCACATACCTTGTATGCAAAATTGCTCTTGACCTTCTGCCGTTTCGTACTTCTTAGCTGTTTTTTGTTATAGGCTGCTGAGCTGCTATTTGTGGTCCTACTCGAGTTCTTCTGAAAATCCATGCTGTCATCACTGGACATGTCTGACTAAAGGAACATTTCACAAACGCTTCAATAAATAAGACTAAAGCAAGCAATATTTTAATTACACAATCATCCTTCAACATCTGGGGTTTTTTTTACACAACACCTGATTTTTTGTGATTGATTTGCTATGGCAAAATAATGCAATAACGCTAATCATATTAAACACAAACGAACAGAAAAACATGCTCTCTGGAAGAAAAATCAGGTCATAAGTGACATGAATTTTTTTCTTTTTTATTCAAAGCTTTGTGGAAGAAAGGCTATTTTACTGCCTTTCACAAAGGCAGAGGCTCAGCTCTCCTGCCAACACAATATCTCAGTGTCAAACAACAACTACAAATCACCTTCGAAGAACTCAGGTAAGAACTGAAGAAAGAAAAGCAATTACATTCTAATATGCCATAGGTCAGATGAGATAAAATATTTTTAATAAGAACACTTGCCTACTGACTGGAGAAAGAGTAAATGTTTAAACATATACTCTGTAAATGAGTTTGCATTACTTTTCTTCTGTCCCACCAAAGCACTTACTAACCATGTTAAGCGGGTGTCGACGTTTTCTGATGGCACAAATCGGCGATTCAAAATCACTATTGTTCATAACCTATGTAAACAGAAAGAAGTATAATTGCAAAGAGGATTCTTGTTTTGGTGTTTGACTTGTCATTTTGCTTCTCTTTTTTTTTTTTTTCTTCTTTTTCTAAGACTCACATCAGGAGACTTCAAAACATTCTTTCTTTTCCTATTTTTCCTCCGGAAAACAATCTCTTCTTCACTATCACTGCTGGTTCCTACAAAAAAAACAGTAAACAACATTCACAAGAAAACACATTGTTCACAATACAATATTGCTATAACTGAGCAATCAAAATCTGCCTCTTTTATGAAAGTACCTACAAAGGAGATTACTTATTGATCTATGTGGCAAATATTGTTCTCTTTAGCCTTGTTAATCAAAATAAATAATCTCCAGCTGAGATGTACAATAAATCCTACTTCCCTGGAGAGTCTCTGAGTGGAAGTGATTACCCAGGCAGTACAGACACAGAAAAAAGGAGGTGAAAAATGAAACCAAGAGAAGAAGCCCTTAAAAGCTGAGTAAGAGTTACACTTCTGGAAGTATTTTGTAATACATATCCCTTTGGGTGCACTGAAACAAAACCAGAACTCACTAAAAAGTCCTCTTTCTAGTTCCTTTTCAAACAACTGCAGCTTTTTTTGTTTTTACAAAGGACTGCCCTTATGAAATACAAGATCTTCCTTCACATTCTGCATGACGAAGCTCCGATTCTGACAGAGAGACCCTGGACTCGGTGCAATAGATACGCTGCTTCTTACAGCATCCTTCCTACCTCAAACCAGGCTCGACATTAACTGCAGCTACAGGATCCTGCCTTATTTTTCCCTCTGTTTCTTTGGGACTATGGCAGGATAGGGTGGGATGGAGAACTGGTTCTGACTAAATCACTCAAAGGACTGAATTTCTTCAAGGCAAAGCCCAAAATTCCCAAACATTCCACCTCTACAATAACATATTTAAATACTGATAACTATCATTTCAACAACACACACTGTCCGGGGAGGTTTTCAAGACCTGACCGGACAAAGCCCTTAACAACCTGATCTAGGTTCAGTATTAACCCTGCAATTCTAAAACAGCAATTTGTTTCGTTTTGTGGTTTTGGGTTTTTTTGGTGGGCTTTTAAAATTATTTTTATTAAATAGATTACGATTTTTTAATTCAGCAAACTAACATATCAGTTTGAAGGTGTGATGATCCAGGAAGAAAGGTGGCATTTGACAATCAATCATCTTCAGAAAATATGATGACTATCAGACAAACTCAAAGTGAAGGAAAAAAAAGATGCTTTAACCACCAAAAGGACTGTTTAAGCTTTGTTTCAATGATTAAGGACAGTAACAAAACCACTCAGAAAAACTCAGTGTACCCTATGAATCAGACTGAGTACTATTAAGCCTGAACTATGTTGAAAGTAATTCAAGGTTATTCAGAGATAAATTCAACAAAGGGTTTGAATATGGCCTGTAAGTGACCTACAAGTGAAGAATGATGGTCATTTATATATTGGCAATATCTAAACACAAGGTATTTTTTTATAGTATATGGGTCCTAAACCAGAACTAAACTAGAAAAAGACAGAAGAGGATAGAAAACGGAGGAAATAAAAATAAAGTAGAGCCTAGAAACAGTCAATATTCTTAAGACAATCCAGGTTTGTACTCAAGTTATAATGAGAAAATTTTAAATACAAGTCAGTTGTCATGCAACTATACTGAAATAAATCCATCAGCAGGGTTTCTATTCCTCAGGAATAATGACAGGAAAATAGGAAGGCGTGGATTCAGGGATTGAAGCACAACAGATGCAGATGATTACAAATCAGATACGGAGAAAATTAAGAAAGGGCTTTAAATGCAGTTATAGCTTGCACAATTATGTCGCACATGCTTGCACTCTTAGCACTTGTGAAGAATCATAGAATCATAGAATCGTTATGGTTGGAAGAGACCTCAAAGATCATCAAGTCCAACCGTCTACCCAACGCCACCATGCCCACTAAACCATGTCTTGAAGCACCACATCTAAATGTTTTTTGAACACCTCTAGGGATGGTGACTCCACCACCTCCCTGGGGAGCCCATTCCAATGCCTGATGACTCTTAAGGTATGACAGGTTTAATTCCGAATACTTCCTCCAATACCCATGCATGCATTTCAGCCTCAAATGGCTAAACTCATATGCAGGGTTGAGATTCTGGAAAGTCTCCTCATTGACTCAGCTTCTAGTATTACAAGCATCATTCCCTTTTCCTTTCATCCTTCCCACCTAAGTCATAACACCAAGCTGAGGATCCAAAAGACACTGAATTCTATTTATTTAAACATGAAGGTATTAACTAACTGTACCACTGAAATCCCAAAAAAAGACACACGTGAACTACGAAGGTTGGTGTCTTCCAGGTTTTCAGTTCTTCCTAAAGGGGAATCAAGCACATCCACAGCTGAACTCCCAAAGTTCTGCCTATTTGGGCTTTTATTTACTTCATCTGTAAGAGGCACCTCTGGACCTTCCTCCCTGGCACTACAGAAGACGTTCATAGGAATTCCTTTGATAGCTTCAATATTTATAACCTTTCTACTTGTTGGGGGGTGTCTTCCAGGTTTTCAGTTCTTCCTAAAGGGGAATCAAGCACATCCACAGCTGAACTCCCAAAGTTCTGCCTATTTGGGCTTTTATTTACTTCATCTGTAAGAGGCACCTCTGGACCTTCCTCCCTGGCACTACAGAAGACGTTCATAGGAATTCCTTTGATAGCTTCAATATTTATAACCTTTCTACTTGTTGGGGTAGAAAGTGCAGAAGCCAAAGCTTCAGGTGATCCACTTCCCATTCTTCTGTCTCCTGACTTCAAGAAAGGCACTACAGTGGTAGCATCCTCAGTCTCTTCTCTGTCCTTCATGCTCCTACTCTGGAATTGCAACGGTGTGGAAACGTCTCTTCTCTCCAAACTTTTGCAATCCCGTTTTCGCGACGTTTCAAGTCTGGAGCTATCATTCAGTAATTTTTTTTTATCTTCAGTGGATTTAACATCTGTGTGACTCCCTGAGGCACTACTGTTTAACTTGCTAGTATCATTAGTATTTGTATTTTCTTCAAAGATTTCGTTCTCACAGTCTTCGATGGAAAATCCCAGATCAAAGTTAACAGTAAACATTTCTTGAGAACAGTCATAAAGATCATCATTATTCAGTGGACTTAACATCTGTGTGACTCCCTGAGGCGCTGTTTAATTTGCTAGTATGATTAGTATTTATATTTTCTTCAAAGATTTCATTCTCACAGTCTTCGATGGAAAATCCCAGATCAAAGTTAACAGTAAACAGTTCTTGAGAACAGTCATAAAGATCATCATTATCCAGAAACTGCTTGGTCACACTAAAATCACCTGACATCTCCGTGGTTGTGGTTTTACTGCTTATTGGTTGCTCCTTGCAGGTTTTGTCAGCGTTCATGCAGCACACCTCCGACGGAAACCACTCAGAGCCTCGCTCTGCAACTGGCCTAATAACACTCTCACCTGAATCCGACCCGACTAAATGCTTATTGCTCGCAGAAAAACTTCCATTATTTGTGTCATAAATGTGTTCATCTTCAAATACATGCATGCTCTTCTCTTCACCAATAATCACATTCTTGTTAATCTCAAGATCTTTGTTATCTTTTTGAACAAAATACTTATTTGAAGCGTTATTTGTCAGAGGTTGATTTATTGTCGGAGTTTCCTTTTGAAATTCAGTGAATTCTTCATTGTCAAACAGACTATCAAAGCTGTCATTCCAGTGAAGTTCCTCTTTGGCTTTAACAACAGCAGTGTCAGAAGATGATACAGTTTTTGAAAAACACGTACTTACAGAAGCACACAATTCACTGGAGACTTTCAGCTCAGGATTTTCAAAGAGCAGCAGTGAACGATCAGCTTCTGAGGATGCAGGGAAGACTTTGTCCTGCAGTCTCTCTGAATAACTATCAGAAATAACTTTTTGAAAGGGACCTATACTTTCTTCATTTCTCATCATGTTTTCAAAATTATAAAGTTTAGTCAAAGAGGGAGGAGACTGTGATAAAAGCCTTTTCACATGGGAAGATATTTGTTTTAACCAAGAAGGCTCCTCAGACTGTCTCACAAGTGCAAATGAATCCACATACGATTCAGGAAGATAAAGTAAGTCAGAGGAAACAGGTGGTTTCTCAGCTACGAAGCTACTATAACCTGAATCTGCCTGGTTCGTCCTCAGAGAGCTACAAGCTTTATCTACAGTTTTGTATTCCTTTATTGCTGCATTTTCATGAATTATAGTACTTTCACTGTTGTCACATAGGTCAATAAATTCATTTAAGTCAAATGTCACCTCTAGTTTCTCACCCTTTTGACCGCCCTGGTCAGTATTTTCAACCAGAGCAAGCCTTCTTGCTGAGTAAGAAGCCAAAGTATTAGTATCTGTAGGCAAGACAGGCACTTCCAAATTTAATCCGGAAGTTCTTTTGGGAGTCTTTGGTTTTGTTATTTTAAATGTGGTAAAGAATTCACTCCCATTATCATTTGTATCAGGTAAAAATGGTTTAACTTTTGATCTGTGTGCCATGTTTTTTCTAGATGAGCATGCTTTCTGATAAAATGTGGAGTTGGTCTTGGAAAGATGACTTTTATTCCTTTGAACATTAACGTCTTCAATACGTAAGTGAGGCTGAATCTCCAGTTCATAGCTGCAATCTCCCTGGTGACAAACACAGTGTAATATTTACTATAAATACATACAGGCTTACAAGGACTTGTCATAACGATATTTAAAACAAGTGACAAAGGTTTTCATACTCCTAAAGGTTATTAGAAAGGAGAAAATAAAAAAAAGTAAAGTACTTTGCATTTAAGGTCACAACTTTCAAACAAAACATTTGCTGGCAGCAACTGCAAATCCATGCTTGGGCAGTCAACCCTGAATGTTTTAGGAAGACCAAAAGATACCACGTGTAAATAAAGATGGCATTTAACAGAGCATCAACACACAATATTCTGCACTGGGCATCTGTGTTGTGCAGTTAAGACGCAGTTCTCAGAACATTAACAGCAAGCAACTTCACTTTGCTAATAAAATGGGCAAGGTATTATGTCCTCAGACAGGCTGATGCTTACAGGCTGTAGCTCTGGGAGGACTAGCAAATTAAGAAAGGTGCTGTGAGCAGAAGAAACCCTTATTCAAGCACAAGTGAGCCTAGAATTGTCTGTTCTCTTTGTACTATCATTTAGAACTTGGCTATTGCCATTGATGGCACATTAAGAACTTCTCAGGTACATAATTTGAATTTACTTTTTTTTTCATGGATGCTTATTAATCTTCTGTTCAAAATGGCACTCAACTAGGCAACCAACTCTTTTAAAAATACACTTGAAAAAAGCACAACAGACTTTGACATCACTTCCAGTTAGGTATCCATATGAGGACTGCCTGGATTGAAAAGCCATTTACTTATTGTCCTTCTCACTCTCTCTTAAAATTAAGATTTCAAAATTAAGGTATGTAATCTCCAAAAGGAAGAGTAAGGGTCAAATGAGGCTCTGAAAGCAGTGGTTTGAAACAGTCCTTCAAACCTTTTTCATTAATAAAAAATAAAGATGAGAATGTAAGGTCTAAACAGAAGGTACAATTATTTTTTGGCTGTTCAGTCTGATGAATCCCTAACTCACTAATCCCGGGCATTAAACAAGGTACCATTATAGAATACTGAGTGATAAACCTGACTTTTACAATAGGAGGTTACCCGCTTCCTATACAAGTAATGTTCTCCAAAAGTCTTACCACATATAAATAGGAAAAAAATAAGGTCATCATAATCATAACCTCCTGAGCCCTCCTCATTGTCCCACAAGAATATATGTAGAACAGTTCTACTTCAGCTTGTGCTAGCCATGCTGATATCTGCTATTCAAACTCCAACATCTGTATCTCCAGTAGCATCCCATCCTTTTCTAGCTCTTCACAAGCTAGACCCTTCATTCCCTATCACATATAGCCAAGCAATCTGCAGACCCTTCTTCCATGGGCATAACCCCTGGACTACATTCACAGAGAACAGGACTTCTCATTTCTTCAACGTTTGGTCTCTGTGTAATTGAGTTGCTAAGAAAGTTTCCAGAGCTGTTCTAACCAATGACACTCTGACACCAACATCTTGATAAAATTGGGACCCCTGGAACCACTGGGGCATCTCTTCCAAAAGAGATTGTGAAGAAATTAAACAGTTGGAGTTTCCACAGATGATACACCTGGAGCTGCTGTTAAACAACCTTTTACTGCCAGACTCCTTATGGGAGCTTGAGTCAATCAGGGAAAACAAGTTTTGAAAAATACTCTGGAAAGTCATTCTACCCCATTACACATGGCAGAAATAACCATACGTAAGATCACTGCTGCCTGGCTTGTTTAAATGTATTCCTGAAAAGAGGATTCGAAGCCATCTTCCGTGCATTTGAAGACTGATCACATCCTAACACAGTTTTGGATCCTCTCTGATTGCAGTAGATAAAGCATACTATCCAGTATTAACAGTATTTTTTCACTCTCAGTAATAATAATAATAATAAAATCAATATTTAGATTTTATCACTAACTTCATATACACACCACAGAAAGGATGATATGCAAAATAAATAAGGAAGAATTTGTGTACAGGCTGTTTTGGGGTCAGGGGCACAGCTAGTTACAAATCCTGTTTACAGCAATGGCACCTGTGTCGCAGTGACAACGTACACAATTTCTATATGGTCAGCACAGTAGAGTGATAGAGCAGGAGGAGGAAGTTCAACTGCTAGAGATTCATCTCTAAAGGGCTGTGAAACACCTACTCCATTTGTCACTACAGAAGACGTTACTCAGCTGCTACACACTTACTGTCTAGGCTTAGGCTATCCGTTTATAAGCATATCCAGAGAAATTAAAAGTATTTTTAAAAGAGAGATCTCCAAGGAGATCCCCAGACTATACAGGCTGACTTATAAGAAGTCTTAACACCAAAATAGTGAAGAAAACAATTACTGTGAAAGGGTTAAAGGATCATTTTGATATATGTAGGTTCTAAATAATTAGTTTCCCCCAAGTTCAGTCAAAACACAAAACAAGATATGGAAGTCTTTTTATGAAATCAAAGAGGAGTAACAAACAACAACCAACACAGCCTGGTCCAATTAACTTCACAAATGTCATCTGAGGAGATTACACATTTGGTTGACAAGATAACACTGCTGATAATGATATGTTTAGATTTATGCAAGTAACAACTGAAGTTCGCATAATATTTCAATTAAAGTATCCTAGCATTGTAAGAACACAACGTATATTAAATGGATTGAAGACTGATTAGCTGCCAAACCACTAACCCTTATTGAAACAGAAGTAGTTGATGCTCTTGCCCACCTAATACACTTCTGAGAGGTGCAGTGCAGATCATTCTTGGCCCTATATTGGGGCTTAAAAAATGCAAAACAAAGTAAAGCAACTCAAAACTATTCAAACCTGCTGCAAAAGATGAGGGTTGTGAGCAGGTAAAGGATAATTCCAATCACAACTGGACCTGAGGTAGAGCAGATAAGAGTAAATCATTTATGTTGTCATATGGCCCAACAAGAAGTTGTATGTTTACAACAGTAAGAGGTAACAGAACCATATCATGTCATCCAAAGGACCTAAAGAAACTCAAGAATGAAGTTTCTGAAATGGCAATGGAGGTACGTAATGTCTTGCTTACATACCTCAGGAACTGGGAGATGGCAAATGTGATGCCATTTTTTAATGGTCAAGGAGGAAGCTAATAGGTTGCTAACCTTATTTCCATACTGAATAAATTAGCAGAAGCTATAACAGATAATATAATTACTGGATGAGTCTTCTTCAGAAGTGTCAATATTGCTTTTGAAAACAAAATATCAGACCTTACAAACCCATTAGATTTCTTTGAAGAGACCAGCAAGCAAAATCATTGAGATGCTCTCATGCATACCATCTTCCCAGCTTTCTGAAAGGCTTTCAAAAAGTCCTGCCAAATCTTCAAAGAAACTTAAACAGAGAGCAAAACAGGGAAATTTCTTGCATGGATAAGTAACTGGGTGCAACACAGAACACAGGAGGAGTGAGCAGTTGTTACACTGAAGAACTTCATTAGGCTACTGCATATACCCATGATTATATTCTAACTTGAAAAAAAGAAGGGAAAAAAAAAAAAAAGTCTAGCAGAACTGCTGTGTGCCAGGACAACAGTCCAGAAGACAAATTTAGCATCTAGGACAAACTTTAGTAACCTAATTTCAGGCTTACGTGGAGTTATATAACTGTTCTAGTTCAACTTAGTCATTCAAAATGCTTTCTCCCAAACAAAATACTTTCTCCCAGTGAGTCTAGTTAAGACTGATGGAGTGAAAGGACAGACTTATAATTATCACATTTTAGGCTGACTGTGTAAAACTTGTAGAATCTTAAATTACCTGACCAGCTCTTCTATAACCTAGTAAGCTCCAGTGTGTACCAGCTACTCAGTAAATAGGTCATGCAGGAGTAGAAAAAAACAGGCATCTCTATTATATTATTGCACTAAATCAATGACCTTGCTTAGAATTACTGATTCAGTTTAAAAAGCAATAGGTTTTTTAATATAGAAAATAAAAAGGAAAAAGTAAACTTAAGATATTAAAATTTTCATTTTTAATATATAAATACACACATACACACACTATTTAAATTTAGGGTATCTACTATTAAAAGTAACCTCTTTCTCCTCATAAGTTGCTTCGGATGTACATTTTCTAATGCGATTCAGATGCCTGCCAAAACCCGTGATTTTGCTATTTAGAAATGAAAAGATAAGCCCGTAAACAGATACAAATACAGATTTTAACAATTACGACTTCTTTAATCAAAAGCTTGATTGAAACGGAGGTAAAAGCAGCATGAACAACTGGCATTTAAGTCTTTTCTGACACAAACCAGAACCTATTTTCAGAACAGTTTTTTGGTCAGATCTAGGGAAGAAAGGCTTTCAGATTTTGAGCTTTCGTACCGAGCATTAAATCCCGTGAAGTCAACACTGCCAATAGAGTTACTCACATGGGTACATCTTCTAGTTAACTTATGCTTTAGCATGAATATTAACAAAAGTTACAACAGTAAGGCTGGTGGTTTTCACGTGGTATTTTGCATGAGTAGCTGGAGCAGATATCAAAGCAGCATATTCCAGTCTATTCGAATGACAAGTAGTTACAATTTTTTCCTTGGAGGTGATCAGTTGGTTGCTTAACACTCAAGGGAAATCCCTTGTGTTTGCCCTCACACACGATCCTCAACACACAGAAGACACCCTTTCATGTATTCTGGCCACCAAAATGCTGTGCCTCAGATGCTCTCAGCCATGAGCCATCCTCCTCCACTCGCCACAAACACTTTTTTAAGGTTTACAAATATCTCCTAGGCTATAATTATTGCTTTTAATATATCAGATATGTTAACACACACTCATTGAGGAAGCTAAACTGCACTTCAATTGCAGCGGAAGACTTCTGGACGATAGTGAAGTCAAAGCGTGCAGTCCTCCTCCAGCTCCTCTCATTCCTACAAACAGAGCTTCTGCCTTTCAGGATTCCGGCTGACCTGCTTGACAAACTGGGCTGTAGGCAGTAAATATTATGTTCCTCTCAAATGGTTTAACATGAGAGTATTTACTATATAGTATT